ATAGCAGTTCTACAAACTGAGCATTTTCTAACCCTCACTTCTTGCTTTCACTTTAATTCCCATAAGGCATCGAAAGAAAAAAAAATGCCAATGGCCCTGAAAGCAATCAGTATTCTAATCTGTGGGGCAAACCAGACATCATGGCAGCAGGTCCATGGGTGGAATCACTCTCTGACTGGAAGTAGCCCTCACCAGGAGAAAAACAATCTCTTTTAAACAGCATTTGTAGTTGGAAAAAGGCCAGATGAGGACCATGCCTCATCTTTTAAGTCACCTCTACTAGCCCTTGCGTTGGAAAAAGGCCAGATGAGGACCATGCCCAACCATGGTGTGTTTTAAGTCACCTCTACTAGCCCTTGATTTATATAGGGACCTGTCAGGACCCAAATTGTTTCTTGCCCTCTTCATGTTTGTTTGCTCCTGTAGTGTGAGTTGCATCTTGGCTGGCAGGGAGACATTAATTACAGATGTGGATGGCATCAAGACAGCCCAGCATGGATTGGGGGAGTCTGCTTTCCTGTTCCATTCTAGGATGCTGGCTTTTCCTTGGAGCACCATTGCTCTCAAAGCTGTAGACATATATTGGTCCCCAAAGCTGCAGGAATTTATTTTGGATTCTTTATAAGGCAACAAAAACCACATAGCATTCAAGCCACTCAAATGTCAAGTAAATAGTTTAAATGTAACCAGATGCTCAGAAGGTTGGTTATTGTGCAGAGGGAAAGTTACAGTCACTTTAGTCATCTTCCTAGCCCCTAGTCACTGCCAAGGCCTCTGATGCATCTGGCTGCCCACTCACATTTTGTTTAATTAGAAGTTGAGTGGTATGCTCCAATGCATGCCTTTCTTGAGTACGGGCCCTAAACATGAGTCTTCCCAGTTCTGAAAAATATTTGCTTCATGTGTTACATTTTTTGGAAGTTTATCTGGAGCAATATATGGGCTCTAAACCAGTAATCTAGAACTCAGACCTTGACAAATTTTCTTTGGCTCTAGGGGCCAGCCCAAAAATTTAGGAGTCAGGCTCATTTTTCAGCATTCAGGGTTTTGTATTTTAACGATCATATTTTCTAATTACTATAACAATGGAATCTAACCCTAACCTTTTTGCAGTGAATGGTAGTTTTATTAATGCTATGACAAATTGTCATATATATAACCTTTAACCACAGCATAACTTCTCCCAAGTTTCTTATGAATCCGTTATTGCTTTAAAAACTTCAGTTTCATAGAATCTTGTTGCTAGTACAGAAAGCAACTGGTTAAGAAGTTAGTTTGTCTACTGTCATTGAATGTTGAAAAGAGAAGCTTACATAAACATGTAATAAATGCAGTGACGGGTTTCATGCACATTTATTTTCATGTTATACAACAAAAATTTCTGATGCAAAATAACAAATAAGCTTTGAATTTCCACTGAGAACTAGTGAGATACACTACAATAAAACCATTGCTGAAAATATTAGGCCCCACAATAAAATTTCTAGGCACCATGGCAACTTGATGCCTGTGATTTGTCAAGTCCTGCCATAGCTAGCACTTTTACAAACCACCCTGAATATCTCCTAGCAGAGAGACTGGAAACGTCAATAGATGGATAAGAGAGGGTGGCAAGAGATACAAGGTTGTTTTTTTAAATGAGAATAATAGGGATGGAAGAGGGGATTTGTTTGTAAGGTATGATAAAGTTTTGTTGAAGAAGAAGAAGAGATTGGGTTTCTACCCCACCCTTCACTACCTAAAGGAGTCTCAGTTTGCACTCACACAAAAATGCTCAGAGTAAATATGTGGTGACTGATCTCAAGTCGAGGGCTCCTTCCTTGATTGGGACAACCAGGATTCAGGCAAAGAAATAAGTAGAGTGCTGGGTAGGAAGACAAGGACTCATTAGGGGTGCCAGCCTCCAGGTGGGACCTGGGGATCTGCCGGAATCACAGCTCATCTCCAGACTACAGAGTTCAGTGCCCCAGGAGAAAATGGCTACTTTGGAGGGTGGACTCTAAGGCATTGTCCCCCACTGAGGTCCCTGTCCTCCTCAGGCTCCACCCCCAAATCTCTAGGAGTTTCACAACCTGTAGCTGGCAACTCTTTCCATGGTATTTAACCCTCGTACATGCAACACTCGCATGCTATGCCTGCCAGTAACGTTCTAAGTACAGTTGTCAACCTCCAGATGAGGCCTGGGTGTCTCCTGAAATTAACACTATAGAGATCAGTTCTCCTCGAAAAAATGGTTGTTTTGTAGGGGACACTTTATGTATTATACCCTACTGAGGTCCCTCCCCTTTCCAAGCCCACCCTCTCAAGGCCCTACTCCCAAATCTCTAGGAATTTCCCAACCTGGAGCTTGCAACATGAGTAAGCATCTCCTTGCCTCTACTCACTGCTTGGAGGTTGGCTTCATGAACTGCTGCTGAACTACTTCACTTCTGGATAATTCTGACACTGTGCTACAAAGGTTGGTTGGAATGTAAAAAGGGAGCAGAATTACTTGTCCTCCTTGTTGTTCAGTCGCACAGTTGAGTCCAACTCTTCGCGACCCCATGGACCACATCACGCCAGGCCCTCTTGTCTTCCGTCGTGCTCCAGAGTTTGCTTAATTTCATGTTTGTTGCATCGACAACACTGTGTAACCATCTCATCCTTTGCCGTCCCCTTCTTCTTTGACCTTCAATCTTTCTCAGCATCAGGGTCTTCTCCAGTGAGTGCTCCCTTCTCTTTTGGTGGCCAAAGTATTTGAGCTTTAGCTTCAGTATCTGGCCTTCCAGGGAATAGTTAGGGTTGATTTCCTAGGAGACTATATATTGTGTCTATGCATGAGTTACTGCTCTGGGCTTGCTTTCGTCTGAACAGGAGGCACACAACAGTTACTCATGGGTGACGGAGACATAAGAAGAACTGGGCTTCTTTGTGTGGATGGAGAGCTCTTACTCTTTTCACAGTGCAAAAGTAAACCTTTTGGGGCTGAAAAATGAAGCATTCCTTCAATCCTAACCCAGAAAAAGTGTGCCTCCTTTATCAGAAGTTTGTGAAAGACTGCCTCAAGGCAAGAAAGTTAAAGCTATGCATTTAAAAAAAATCCTAGGGAAGGTAACCAGGTGTTGGCAATATACGTTTTCATTTAATGTGAACAAGCTGTGTATGTGTAGGAGAGTACAGTGGGAATTATATTTGCCATGGTTCTGGAGTTTATCCCATCAGGAATTGCAGGTTTGGTTTATAGCCAGAACTGTTCTCTTAGCAGGGTGAGTGGTCCTGCTTGCAGGAACCACCATCAGATTGTTCCAATAATTTGAGACAGGAATGGAAAATCTGTCCCCTTCCCCCACTTGCTGTCGTTTTCAGCAGTTTTGCAAAGGTCCAGTTAACAAATCCTTGGGGAGGAATAGGAAGCTATTACGGTTTCTGCTGTAACACGTTTGGCCTGGGGATCACGTAGATGGGAGGATGTTGTCAGTAATGTTAAATATACACTCTAACAAACTGCACATCAGTACAGGAATTTATTCTCTGAGCTATTTAAGGAAACACCCATTAGGTTGGAATATGTCATGAGCTCTGGATCACACATAATGATTTGGAGTAGTTTAAATCTAGCTCAAGAAGATATAGCTCTTTACTCCAGGAAGGCAGAGAATGTTAATGAGAATTTATGATCAAAAGTGCCAGATAGCCTCATGGAAACCATGACCCAATCTTGACATGTGTCTGCTAGGACTGTTAACAGGCGTGGAGAAAGTGTTTTGTCTCTTTAATGGAGGTTTAATGGGATGGGTTTTTTTTACCAGGTGTTGTTATTTACCTACTTGCCATGAAAAGCTATGGTCTATTTCCACACATTGCACTTCTGTTAAAAGGACAGGGCATTTCCCCCCAGGCCTGTTGGAAGCCCAATCTAGAGGGTTACCAGATGTCCACTTTTTAAAGGACATATCCTCTTTTTGTGTGTGTCCATCCTCTTTTGGGCTCTTTTTGAAAAATTGATGAAAATGTCCTCTTTTGGGGTTGGAAGGTTAGGAATATTCCTAGTTAGTAGCAATTATCACAGTTTAAATAGTAGGTGTATTTAAAATGAGAGTTGTCATAGTGAAGTAGAAATATGTCCTCTTTTTTGCTTTTCAAAATATGGTAGCCCTATCCATCTATCACCCTTACACCTACTTTATAAGGGACAACTAGATGCTAAAAGTAAGGGGTTGTTTAAACCTACATCTGCCACAATCAAGCAGACAGAAAAGAGTGAGAGCCCAGTATAAGGAGCAAATGAGTCAATGGGTGACAAAAACAGAACTCTTAGGGCTAATTTCCCAGCAGCCTTTATCTCCAGGCAGATTTCTCCAGGGAGCAAGTCAGGGAAGAACAAAAAAGGCCTAGGGAGAGGGTCTGCTTGGTTCAAGAAAAGTGGGGGAGACTAGAGAGTTCAGCTCCTCTCACTCCTTAAATCCAGACCCTTCTCTCTGTGCGGTTGTGGCTCATGTGGCTTTAAACCCATAGATCAGCCACTGTGCTGTCAAGTTTTACCCTTAACTTTCCTTGATTTGCTCCTGTCTGTGCACCACAGTGTATGCACAACAATACCAGCCGTGCAATTGCCTTTCCACTGTAGCTATTAATCCTGCAGAAGGGGAAATATTTTTTTTTTTAATTAGGTGTCCAGTCGCCTACTGCATCTTGATACAACTGAGAATTTCTCCTGTTATGATATTGTTTCTGAGCAAGGCGTTTGGGGAGTTGTTAATTCATAGGGTTGCCATAAGTAGGAAGCGACTTGATGGCACATAACACACGCACAGACACACAAAGATATTGCAGCTTCCTACATTTCTGTCCTGGCAATGTATACAAAAGTGAGGACAAGGGAAGCCTCCAGAAGAAAGACAGGCTCTTTGCTTTTCACATCCTTATGCTCATAATAGCAAGTTAGATGTTTGGCTTGTAAAACTCATGTTTTTCCTGCATTAGTCCTCCTCATCAGCTGATGGAACCTGTGGGGCACCGATATGGACCAGAACACTCTACAGGTTGGGGCTATGGGTACTGAAAGTAATGAAGCAGTACTCCCATATCCTGAAATAACTAGTCCCCGGACATGCACAAATGCACAAAAGCCATACTGCCCTGTAGGGACTGAAATGACAACTTGGATCTTGTAAGGCCACAGCATTAGCTGAATGAACAGGTGCTGGTTCCAGAGGCATCAAACATTTATTTCCTAACTTTGCCCTTTTTTACTTTACAGGCCAAATGTCTGTGGGGGACAGTGTTGCTCAGGATGGACAACAGCTCCAGGAACAAACCGATGCATTAAACGTGAGTACAAAAATAACATATATAATCATTGTTTATATAGTACTATTTGTGTGCAAGGCATTTTACAGGCTGACATAACAACAACCAAAAACAAAACCCAGTGTCCTGTTCCAAGGACCTTCCAATTTAAATCTCCACAGTGATGACTGAAAGAAGGTGTGGGTGCTAGGGGGAGAGAAGGGGATGATGGAGAAAAAAGAAAGGGCAAGGGAGAGGCAGAGAGATGCTGCGAGAGGGAAAGGATGGGTGTAAGCAAATTATGCAGTTGCATTAACTTACTGTGGAATCCTAAACAGTTTTACACCCTTCAAAATCTACTGACGCTAGTGAAGTACCATTGGCCTCATTTTGGCTGGTGATGAAAACTAAGATGGAAAACCAAAGGCTTTGTGAAAAAGGATTTAAAAAAAATTGAAGAGAGAGTAGGCACCATCTAACAGTGCTATCTTAAACAGAATTGCACAGTTGTATCCCTCTTAGTCCAAAGAAGTCCTTGAGCTTTGAACAGTGTAACTTTGCTTAGAATGGCACTGCAAGTGTTCCATGAGATATTTCTAGGCATAAATAGGTACAAATCTTTAGTCAAAATTTATTAAAATTCACTGTCCCATTTAAGTCAATGTGGTGTTATCCAAAGTAACTGGTTTCCAAGGATATATGTAGATAACCAAGGCAGATTCAGAATGAGCCGTTCCCTCTATTTCGGGGTACTGGCATAATAATACCATGTTATTTATTTATTGAAAATTTATACACTTCCTGTCCAGGGACCCATTCAAGGGGTCTCATAGGGTTAAAAATGTAATATAATACTAAGAACAGCAGCACAAAAATTATCAATAATAAACAAGCCATAATAATGAGCCACGGCATAAAAATAGCATCAAACAAGATTCAGCAGCCTAAAATGATATTCACAAAACAATTCTTGAGCTAGAACCATATCACACAAAAAAAGCTTTAAAAAGACAGAATCCCTCTGTTAAATGCCTGGGTAAAAATAAATATTTTGGCCTGGTGCTTAAAGAAGAGTAAGAAAAGTTAATCTCAAGTTGGAGGGCATTCCAAAGGCATGGTGCTACCACTGAAAAAACCCTTTCTCTAGTTGCCATAGCCAATGCTTATCAGCCAATGCTGGCAACATGCCAGAAAAGTTTGGTGGGTGGGAACCATAATTGTCCTTTCCAGGGAAAACTCGGAAGCAACATCATTGTTCTGTGGTAGTGCTCTAGGATTCATCCAGAGTTCTCTGGTTGTTGAACAGTATTGAGGAACAAAAAGCTTGGCTGGGAGGTTTCCAGATCTGCCATCCTCTGGGTGGGGCCTGGAGGTCTCAAGGAATTGAAACTAATTTCCAGGTGACAGAGATCAGTTCCTCTGGAGAAAATGGCTTCCTTGGAGAGTGAAGTCTATTGCATTATACTCACACTAATGTCCCTTCTGTCACCGAATCTCACCCTCTCTCCAGGTGCCACTCCTAACTCCAGGAATTTCCCAACCGAGATTTGGCCACCCGAATGGTCTCCCATTACAGGCTTGGTGTACACCCACCTTACCACTGTATGCAGGTGCAGAGAGAGTAGGGCTTGAGAGGAGGATCCTATAGATATGCCATACTGTCATAATAGCTAGAGTGCTTTTATCACCATAGCTGCTTTGAAATTTTGACTTTGGGAAGTGGGATGAGTCTACCTGACTAAAAGTTATAGTCTCTTAGAATTTGATCCGGAGGTTTTCTTCCAATAAATGAAGACTCTTTTGTTCATTGGGCCAGAAGAAGAGAACAGAAGGTTCTTCACTAGTAGAAGGAAATCTCGGGATCCAGCCCATGGGCAAAAAGAGTACCATGGAGCTGAGTCTATAGTGGCCATGCGGCCACATACAGCATTGGTGAGTCATCTCTGGTTCTTTGCTGAGCTGCACAACAGCTTTTAGGGGCTTTTAGTGGTGGTAGCTGGTCAAGTTGTACTGAGCCATGGTGTTGTATCAATGTGATGTCCTATAGGGTTGCCAGACAATGACTGGCGCCTGGCAAGAGATGGGGGGGGGCAGGGACTATGACATTACTTCCCAGGAAAACTGGAGGTGACATCACAGCACCCTAGGGATCACCAGAAACTCTATGGTGGTGATTCCTAAAACCATTGCTTCTGGACTTCCCCAGAAGTTATGCCACGTTGCACATGACAGCAGCTATTTAAAAAAAAAATTAACTTGCTGCCTGAAGGAATGATGGAGGTGAGCACAGGTGACCAGTGGAAGGTTTCTAGCTATGCAACCCTGTGTCCTGAGTTAGCTCACAATTAATGCAAAGCTCACAGTGAACTGTGGATTCAAACTTGGCAGCCTTGGGGAATCAAGACCAGTGCAGATGCTGTAATCCACAGAGAGCAATAGGGTTGCCAGGTTACCTCACACTAGTAGGGGACTTTGGGAGGTGTTTCAGGATGGGGCAGGGACTTCCTAACATGATGTTGTCATGCATAAGTCATGCCATCACGTTGGCGATGCAGCCCCTTGGAAGGCTCTGATGGCACCTGCTTGCAAGAAACAATGTAAAGGGAAGCTTCCCTTTAAATGGTTTCTTGCGAGCAGGGGCTGGCTGCCCACCCACACCTGAACTCCAAGTGGCAAATTTGCTGCTTGGAGTTCAGGTGTGTGGCCAGTGGCAGCCCCTCTCCCTCCCCCCCTGAGGATTTAAAGGGCCCTGTTGCTGATCGACGGGCCACCTGCTCCCGTCGATCAGTAGGAGGGCCGTTTAAATCATGCAGAAGAGGAGGGAGAGAGGTGGCCACTTGATGGTCACTGTTGGGGCAGGGCTGAAATCGGGGGATCCCCTGCCCCCACCTGGGGATTGGCAAGCCTACAGAGCAAGGATGCACAAACCCCCCACATAATTTAGTAATTTTGCACTTGTGAGTGTGTGTGTGTGTGTGTGTGTGTGGAGTGGAGTGGAGTGGAAAGTATTATTTCTTGCATTCTTTTGGGGTTGCCCTGACATATCCAGCCACAAGCACAGGAGCAGAGGCAGGGGTTTTCAAACAAAGATGGGGTTACATGACAACATGGACAGTTTTTGACAAAGTGATGCATCTGATTGGTTTCAGAATAACCATTAAAGCTCATTAAAACTGGTTAAAAGGTTGGACTGGGAGAAAAGGAATGTGACAATCAATGCTCCCGCTAAGCTGTGGAGTCTTGTGAGCAAAAATTCTACTTTGCAGGCTGCAAACATTAAAGTTGTGAGCGAGCAGTTTGGCCGCAGCATAAATCAGTTTACTCTGGAGTCGTCCCTTCCTGAGCTGAGACAAAAACATGTGAGCCGGAGGCTAAAAAACTGTGAGCTGGCTCACACTGACTCAGCTTAGAGGGAACACTGGTGACAATCCATCTTTCATGGGGCAGGACTGCACTGGAGGGATATAATAGAAGAGCTCTTAGGTCTTTGTTTAGTTGCCAATTAAATACTTCTCCGAGAACTTATTTTTTAAAGAGGTTGAAGCAGAAGATTTTGCTCTGAAGCTAGGTGACTCTGAATACCTGTGACCCCTCTTCATAACTTTCATGAGACCCCTTTTGGGAGAAGTTTCTTCCCTTCTTAGGTTATTACTTCAGCAGTTCCTCTCTAATTTTAAATATGGGATCTCGTAAGCTGGGGCCTCCCGCAAGGCAGTTTTCCTTCAGTGTATTTATAGGAATAGGGACAGAGTGGAGTGATTTACAAGGAAATAGTCCCATGGAGGGTTCTGATGACATCATTAACCATATGAGCTAGAAATCCAACGATGCAATTAATTACACTGTAAATCATGGCAGCCCAGTGGTTGCTAGTTAGTTTTCCTAACCTTTTCATTCAGTTATGCTTTTAAGTTTCTAAATGCTACAAGCCTCTGAAACCACAGAAGAATTATTTAATGTTCCAGGCCTTCAAATTCAGCACTTGCTGCTTGTGATGTTCCTAGTCCCACTTGCAGCAACTTGCCTGAATGACTCCAGGCTTCTGCCCAGAATGAGGCTTTAGAATTTTTGATGTAGAAGAGCTTGAAACCATTGTTTTGGGTTGGATCCAAAGTGTTTTTCCACTCACAGATAGGGTTGCCCAGTCCCCCGGGTACTGGCAGGGGGGCCATGGAAGATGCCCTTTTGTTCAAAAAAGGTATTATGCCACTCATGGAGGAATGCCTTTGGATGGATCTAACGGATAACTTGAATCCAGCCCATTGTTCCAGGCTCAGCAATAGATGCCTGAGCTCTTCTTGTTCCCCAGCATGAATGAACATGAATGAAAATCCATCCTCTGTGCTGCTCAGTGTTTTCAAGTTCTAGTAGACAAAAGCTGCAATATACCCGGTCGGAATCACTCTCTTGTTTAATTTATAATGGCATACGAGAAATGAAATGGATAATAGTAAAAAAGAGCCAAACTGGAACTAAGCTAGTGGCTTTCGCTAAATAATGCAGTATGACAATATTATTTTTTGTTTCACTTACATTTTGTCCATATGTTATGGTTAATGTGGGTTCAGTGGAAAATGTGCACAACCCACCTTCAATTGTGTGCATTCAGTGGTGGGGAGACTGTGCACAAATGTCATGCACAATATCGACAAGGGATGTTGTAAAATATGCATGTGGATAATGTCAATCAGATAATGTGTACATTGAATGGTAATTTTATTTATTTATTTCATTTATACCCCTCCTTTCTTCCCAATAGGAAATTAGCTTATAACAAACTCCCCTTCACCGTTTTATCCTCACAACAACCCTTTGAGGTCGATAAGGCTGAGTGTGTGACTGACCAAGGTCACCCAGTAAGTTTCCATGGCAGAACCTGGGTCTTCCAGATCCTCATCCAGCACTCTTAATGAATGCATCAACCTTTATTGGCATAACATACAGAACATACGACTCACTTTGCAAAGACTCTTGACTACTATATCATACTGGGTCTCGCAATTAAGACTGTCAATTTTGGCTTAGGAAATTCCTGGATATTT